CCAGTCTTGATAATCAAAAATGTCTCTAGACATTGCTGAATGTCCCCTGGGAAGGAATATCTCTCTCAGTTGAGAAACACTGTTACAAAGGCATAGGTGATTTTTACTTTTTTCAGATTTAAAATTCTAAATCAGAGCTACACATATAATGAAAGCTTAGAAATAATAAATAGCTCATAAAACAGTAAGAATCTTGGAATATGACTTATTTGGGTGCTCTCTCTACAGCTCTTACTGTATGATTTTTAACAAATTGCATGCCCTTTTATTTTTATCATCTAAAAATAGGTTTTGTTTTTGTCATCTAAAAAAAGATAATATGAGTATCTCACTCAAAGTGTCATATTTAGTTAAGTGAGATAATGCATACAAAATGGTTAACACAACTGCTGGCACACAGTAAGTTCTTAAAAAATTCCTGATTTCATTTGTTATCAGTGGCAATAGTTTAGCTAGTTTTATCTTAATGAAAGGCTATGATAATAGAATGGTATTATTAAATGGAAATAGTGTAGTAAATATTTTGGACAATTCTCTTGTTTTAATTATTTAATTGTATCATATTTACTATTAAAAATAATTTTTAGTATCCAGTCCCTTTACATAGCTTTAAGATTTACAGAGCTTATCAAAGATCTGTCAAAGCTACTTTATGTTGTGTAAAATGTATTTTTTGATGCAGACTTGTCAAAGTTATTTTGTATTTTAAGTGAATCATAAAAAATATGTTTCTCTTCTTTTTACTAGCATATTTCCACTTCATTTCAAAGCCGTAGCTGACGTTATAAATAACCTTAAAGTTTTTCAGATAGTTATATAGTGCCTTCAATGCATGGTGAGGCCCAGAACCCTGAATAAGTCAACAAAATGTACTCAGACTTAAAAGGGAGCAATAGTGCAACCCTTCATGGCTGAAATTTACAGGAGAAAATTGGATTCCTAACTTGTCAGCAATTCTGTATTCATGTCATAAGTGAGATACAGATATGTCACGTATTTTAGAAGAATTAGCAGCAAATGTAAGGTGCTTCTTTTGTGCTGTTACAAATTAGATTTTTCTTTCTTCCCTTGAGAAGCCAGATTGAACAAAAGAATCCTCCAAAACAGAGAACTGCTGAACATCAAGGCCCTGTTTCTGAAAACTAAGTAGAAGAATAGAGACATATGCTTGGTGTTCTGAATCAATTATCGGTGAAATGCTGTTATACCATTCAGAATAGAGGCCCGAAAGTCAAGGTTTGCTTTCCCAGCATTCACTGCTTTTAATAAGCTTAGCCTTGGATATCTATGAAAAACTTATTTTCACAAACTCTAATTTTCAAACAAAGATAAAAATCTTCATTTCTTAAAAGTTGACAGAAGATGAGGACTAATTTTACTCTGAAAGAAGTCATAAGACACTTAGCTAAGTTCATTAGTAATTGGCAGTAGGTTCAAGGCTAGATCACGATTGACCAGTTTGTCTTACACAGAGAAAAAAGTGGAAGCCACTCATGAATTTCTGTGTACACTCATGTACTCCATTCAAGCAAGACATTAGAAGTTTGAATGTGTGAATGTAGAACATTACTATTTTAGGAGGTAGAGAAGGAGGACATGGATGAGTATAGTATACAGTATATTAAATAATGCAATACGTATCCAGTATATAATTGAGAAACTTAAATACGATGTAATTTTAAACACTGCCTAACGATTTATGGAAAACCAGTCAGAACTATTACCCATATTCTTGAGTATATCTGTCCAAATAAAAGGTAAAGTTTTATTTGTGGCCAAGAACTATTTCAAGTCCTTTTAAAAAGATCACTTATTCTGGAATTATTTTAACAAATATTATTCGGCTACTAGTTTATGCAAGTGTTTCTGCAATTAAATAAAATCCTTCGAATTTTTATTTTTTGCTCTAGACATTTGTATAAAGACTGTGCCTTACAGAAAAATAATTGCATTTTTAAACTTTTAGCATGGGCAGTATTCTGCATTAGTTTTATTATGCCACCATCTGCAAATGACCCAGTTATTTCATTATTGTTTTTCCTGAGTTATGCTAATAAAGTAGAAATGGGGAATTGTTGGGCACCTTAGTAATCCTGGATTAGGTATTTAATTTTTAGAAGGTTAAGAAGATGAAAATCTGCTTATTATAGGATACCTAAGTAATATATATTTATTAGTCAAATGTAGTTCATAATGTGGATCCAAAAAGTATAGCCAAATCACCAAGAACGATCTAAAATGGTATTCATACTTATTTGCTTTGATGTTTTACATGTTTTCTTTTACATTTTTAGCTGCTTTTAATATAATTTAAGAAAAAGAATTTCCTATCGTAGCAATTTATTTTACCTTCTAGTTTTGGTGTTTTACTATGTTTTTATACATAGTATAAATCCCTTGAAGTAGAATTGTTGGATTAAAGACAGTGCATTTTGATAGACAACTACAGCCAAACTCTCCTCTAAAGAGATGGCACTAATTTTGTACTCGCGTGGCGGATCCTTTGAATTTTGATTTCTTTTTGTGGACATTCCAATAAAAATTGTGGCTATTAGAATAATGATTGCACTCAAGCGTCTCTATAAATACACAATGACAAATGGAAGCATCTGTACCCTCACTCCTTGCTTCACACTGTCATCAAGTTTATAAACCTTGCTCATATGATACATATACAATACCATTTCTTTCATTCTGAGTAAATCATTCAAGTGTCTATTCTGAAAATATATATGAACCTTGCTCATTTGCATATGAACAAATTTTGAGTAAAACATTCTGCAATGTCTTATCTGAAAGACAATTTTCAAATATATAAACTACAATTTTAAAACGTATCACCATGATGGTAAGAACATTCCAGAGCTTGACTTTTTCCCCTGAGTACATAAAAGTACAATTCACAATCACTGTATCAGAGCCTAATACTTAGTAATTGTTATCAAATAAAACGAGAAAAAAATTAGCAGCCCTGTAAACAAATAAAACTTTATTAAAAATAATTAGATATCAGTTGTTGCTTAATGTGAATTAAAAAGCCAAGGAAATTAAAGAGATAGACTTCGTTAATCCCCAATCTATTCTAACTATCTGGAACATAAATAAACATGATTATTTTGCTGAGTAGAATATTACTTTAAAATTCATGAATGTTTAAAAAAAGGTAGGATGCCCCTCTTTTTCTGTGATGTTTTGTATAGTACCATAAATATTCATGAATAGTGAGTATCAGTTCAGGTTATCTATGTGAATATAAATTTTCACATAACTGGCCACTCAGTGTTCATTGGATCATGCTTTGGAATATGAATTCACTAGTGTCTCAGATGCACTGTGGATCTGACCCAGCTCATGAATATTCACACACACAACTGATCTTTTTGAAGGTAATCACATCCATAAAGATGAAAATCTCGTTAGTTTTCAGTAATGAGAAATGCATGAAGATGTTGGTCCCAGAACAATTTCACAGTATACTTGCTTTTCATTTTTTGGTAAATGATAAACTTTAAAATATAAATACATATGCTGTGCCTCTTTCTTGATAGAAGCTCTTTTTCCTTTTCCCTTTAAAAAATCTTGTGTGTGATCTAACCATGATCACATTTGTTTCTTTTACTTACTGTGGTCACAGAAAAGAATGGAAAGAGCTAAGCAGTATCTCCAGTCCTTATCCCAAGCTCACGTCCACTATTGAGGCTTGGTCATAGATCCTCAAATGCAGAGTGTCCCAATCTGCTAATCTGCTTGTGGGCATGGTGCATATTTTACATATAAAGACCCCTCTAAAAAAGATGAGATTATCTATGTCATCTTTTTTGCTTAAAGGGAAAATAATATCCTAAGCCAATTAGAATTTTAATACGTTAGGCGTAGGATGCTATGATCATGGAGGCCCATAATTATAAATTATATACTATTTTAGCCCATGTTATATCCCACATTATCATTGTTTCTCTTTCATTATAATGACTGGCATATGGTTGTGATACCTATCCCAGATCAGTCGGTCACTATAAGTAGGTATCAAAATCAGTGACCTGTCCCTTATTAGCACCATGCTCTAGTTATTAGTTGAACTAACCAGAAAAAAGAAAATTATTGTTCATAAAGGTAGTGATAAGGTATCAGCCACTTCTTAGTTCTAACACTGATATTGTCAAGCCTCTGAATGAGTTTTTCTTTATCAACATGTACGCATTTTTGGTTGTTACATAAGCACAGTTAATAAAGTATGCTCAGTAACAAACATCTGTTTGTTTGTTTGTTTAATTCAGGTAACAGACCAAACTATGTTAGTGTATCACAGAGAATCCTCAATATTGAGCTATGCTGAATTCTCCTCTGCTCAAGCCCCTTCATGAATATGCATATACCACCCAAGCCCCTTCGTGAATATGCATGTACCCTTAGCTTAAAAATGCCCCAGTTTTGCTGTTTGGGGAGACAATGCTCTGGGGAAAATCCCTGGTATTCTCCTTACTTGCTACAAGTAATAAATCCTTCCTTCTCCCCCCACCCCCCCAAAAAAAAAATACTGAGGGCAGTCGTCGTCACACTGTGTCATGAGGTGCCTTGTAAGCATCTTCAGAACTGCCTCAGTGCAAGAGATACCTCCCAGCAGCAGAGTTCTGATACTGCCTGTTTTATGCATCACGGTGGTTCTCAACAGAAAGTAATTTGGCCCCCCAGGGGTTATGTGACATGTCTAGAGACAGTTTTGCTTGTCACACCTGGGGGGATGTTACTGGCCTCTAGCGGGTAGAGGGCAGAGGTGCTTCTAAACATCTACAAAGCACAGAACAGGTCCCACACCATCATATAAACATGTGTTTGAAGAAATGATTCCATGTCTAAACTTTTGATTACCACCAGATTAGAGCGCTTTTATAGGTAAAGCAATGAAAATGTATAACAGTATTTTGCAAGTAAAGGAAGACAGGTTCAATTATTAATTCCAAATTTGAATTAATTGATTTTTCTTATTTTGGGGGGGGTAGCAACAATTGTGTTAAATGAACTCAACTGGACGAGCGCCTTAGATGAAGTTTTCAAGAAAAATCGGGAGGAAGATCCTTCATTGTTGTGGCAGGTGTTTGGCAGTGCCACAGGCCTGGCACGATATTATCCGGGTAAGTGCTTAGTGATCAGGAGGTACCAAATGAAACTGTAAGTACTGGACTTCGTTCTTCTTGAACACTCTGTTACTTTCTCTTACTTGGTAAAAGATGGTTATCACACTACTTTTAAAAGGAAAGAGTATTCTTCCTTCCTTGGCTCTGTATCTACCAAAATTATTTTAAACCAAAACACCTGAGAAGCAGCTGGCCCATGGAATCAGGTGGGCTGCAGTGAGACTGTGGACAGGTATCTATGGACCGGGAACAGGAGGTTATCATGAATCCTAAAACAATTCTAAGGGTCCAGCTGCATAGCATGGACCATGAGTCACATTAGAGAACTGAATAGAATTTTTAGAAACTAATTAAAATATTTCTTTCCAGATTTCAAGTCTTTGCTTTTATGTGAAAGGTACTGATGCTTTTCTTTAATCAGTGAATGTGGATTTGTTAAAATGAAATGAATATATTTTACAAATTAACATGAATAAACCCTTTTGTAATGTCTTTTATTCTTATAAAAAAAGGATAAGGAGAAGTAAGTTTATAATGAAAATGAAATATTAATCACTAGTAGATCCCGAGAACCTATTGAAAACACTTTAAATGAAATGTCTGTTGGTATTTTTAACTTCTCCACCTTTCAGAACAAGGTGACAAGCACAAATGCATTTACTTTCTCAAAGCGTGACCTGAGTTATGGGATACATGCTAGGTAATTTGGCTTTAAACAGCTACAATATATATGAGACTTTTTTTTTTAGACTTGAGTTTTCTAAACATTTAAAAAATAGTTATTAACAGTAAAGGTCACAACAGTGAAAAGGGGGTGAAATAGAAATTAGATAATATCTATCTTTGTATGGCAATAGCAGTGAATAAAAGTATGTGGGCATTATCAGACTAAATAGCACTCAAATTAGGTAATGATATATAACTTCTTGCAACAAGTGCCAGATGGTAAGATCATTGACAGTTATTTTTCTGCAGAAATCCAATGGAATACGAAAGGCCTACTCTGTATTTCAATGTTGAAAAAATCATGAGTTAGAAAAATATTAATGTTAATATCTGATGTCGAGAAAATATTACCACATAGGTTATCATAATAGTGGAATCTTCTACTTACAGAAATATTGTTCAGTACAATACAACACTTCTAAAATACTCTTGTTATTAATATGTTAAATACCATATAGCAGGAGTTTGAAAATTTTCGTATGTAATATAAAGAAAAAAAGTATTATTAGTCATGTACATAGTAAACCTAATATAAACTTCAAAGTTATAGCAGGTCTTTTAAATTTTTATTTTATTTTTAAAATTTATTTATTTTTATTTTTGGCTGTGTTGGGTCTTTGTTGCTGTGCGCGGGCTTTCTCTAGTTGCGGCGAGCGGGCTTCTCATTGTAGTGGCTTCTCTTGTTGCGGAGCACGGGCTCTACGCACTTGGCTTCAGTTGTTGCAGCACACGGGCTCAGTAGTTGTAGCTTGCGGGCTCTAGAGCACAGGCTCAGTATTTGTGGCGCACGGGCTTAGTTGCTCCGCAGCATGTGGGATCTTCCCAGACCAAGGCTCAGACCTCTGTTCCCTGCACTGGCAGGCAGATTCTTAACCACTGTGCCGCCAGGGAAGTCCCTATAGCAGGTCTTATAAGACATTTATAAGTACAATTTAAAAAAATAAATACACAAGTAATAACAATAATACATGAATATAATTATTTATATTTATCAATAACGTATTGCATTATGTAGCTTTTAAGTCTTTTAAAATATATTACCTCAATACAAAATTCCATATATATGCAGTTGAAGGAAGGAGAAAAAATAAGTAAGAGAAAATTAGGATAATGAGGAGAAATCAAGAGCCCAGTACTAGAGGGAAATTGATGATGCCATGAATAAAAGAAAGACACATAAGGATTATGAGAGAGAAATAGGAATGGGAGTGGGAGGGAAGATTGTATAAGAAAGGGGAGAGAGAACATTGGGGTTAAGAGGCGGAAGGAAAGATAGATCATATTTTGCACACTTTTCAAAGATGGCTCTTTTTACGAATAGCAGTCAATTTGTAAACATACCAGTAAATCATCTTTTATGTTTTTCTTTTAAATGCTAATTGAGGGATTATGGCTTTAATTATTTTTAAACCCTAATCATATATTTCCTAATATGTTGACATTTATCCATTTTTACCTTGGGAAAGATCTTTAAAGGTTTAATTTAACTGAGTCCATGTGGTCCCCCCAGGACATTAGCTGTGGAAGCAACCCTGGGCTCTTCTGTGATGTCTTGTTTTTCAGCAAGTGTTTGACAGACAAGCTGACTCACCAAATGATCTCCGAGCCCCTGTAATGGCTCTCTTGACTGCTATGAAACACAACATTCAGTGAAATTTCAGTTTTAGTGAGTCTGTTGCTGAGTTGCTCTTTTTATTTTATTTTTAAATTATTTTTTGACATACAAAAAGCTGTACATAGTTAATGTATACAACTTGATGAGTTTGGAGATAAGTATACATTGGTGATACCACCACCACAATCAATGCCATAAAGCCTATCTTCCATCTGTATAAGTTTCCTCCCACCCTCTTATTTATTATTATGTTTTGTGATAAGAACACTTAACATAAGACCTACCCTGTGCAGGGAGATGAGCAGCCAGGATGGCTGTTCTCTTGCTCTCTGTCCATCCCCTGCTCAACTAGTCCCTGCCTCACCTGCACCCTACTCACTTGACTGACCTTCCCTCTTAATAACACAGCCTAATCAGTAAATGCCTACTTACTTGCCACCAGCCCCAACTTATGATTATTCTAAGCTTTAGATCAGAACATCGCCACCTGATAATTACCAAAGGGGCAGTGAGGGGCATGCTTCTCTGCTGGTTTCCCTGGTAACCGATGAGCCAGCTAGACATCAGTGTCAGTTCTCCTTGTAACTGGGAACCTCCCCTCCCCCCCTCCC